TTGCATTCTTTTACACCCTACGGTACAAAATAAGATCGATTACTCATTCAGTGACAAGGCTGGAAGAATCGTGCTAATTACTTGTGTTCTGAATTCTCTAAAATTATCACTGGTGAATATTTATGCCCCGAATAGCCAAAGTGAACAATTAGATTTCTTACAAAACTTAAACAATTGCCTTATCGACAAGTCAGAAATTTCCACGCTTATTGTAGGAGGCGACTGGAATTGCACACTATCAAAGATAGATAAAATTGTTTATGAGATACTACATCTACGCCAACAAACTACACAACAAACCAATTCTCCTCCAAGACTTCGTTGGTAAAATGATAATTAAATACAGAATTGAAAAGCTATAAAATAGACATGAAAAATAACTCCTCTGACCTTTTTTTTTTTTTTTTTTTTTTTTGTGTGTTTATGTGGGTGTGTGTGTGCGTGTGATGTACTAGAATTGTAAGTAGTGTAACCATTGTAATTATTAGTAGTACGAGCATCGTATGGATGGTATTGTCAGTATAGCCAATATTGTAAATAGTGCAAGTATAGTGAATATTGTTAGTAGTATTTAGTTTCAGTAGTGTTTTAGTACTGTAAACATTTAATATATGTCTGTAAGGCAAAAAATAAATAAAAAAAATATATATATATATTTTGGTGTGGCTTGATATACATAAGTATAAATTATTGGCGGGTAAACCAAGGCTGTACCCTCAAATCCCGCCAACCTATAGTTAAGTAAGACAAAACTTCTTTTGCGTTTTTTTTAATACTTAACGCATCACCACGCAACAATTCCATTTATACACTGCGTTCAAAAAAAGAAAATACTCAAACTACTGAAAAGTTGATCCCCAGTAACAAAAAAGGTCCAAGAACACACTAACGTTCACCGAACATAATGCTAACTCTACCCTTCTCGGTTTTGCAAAAGATCCTTTTATAAATAAACACTAACGCCTTTACGCTTTTCCAAGGTAACATTAATGATTTTAACTGTAAGTTTTGTACAATAATAAAATATTTGAAATGTCTGTCGCTGCGTTTGTTTTCAGTTGTGATCACAAAAAACAGTTCGCTCTTTCGATAAGGTACCTTTACGCCTAATAGATCCGTAACGATTTACTTACCCCCTATATATCCTATTAGTGATCAGTATAAATCATAAAAGGCTGAAAATAGAGGAAAAACTGCTCAGCACCGGGAAAAACATTGTGATTTCTAATCAAATTCTCCTCCTTAGTACCAAATGAACGGTAAAGAAATGAGTATGGAGAATGTGCATGTTAATCTCACCAGGGTTTTCTGCAACAAATAGAAATTGATCTTGTTCATGAAAAACGCCAAGGTTTTAATAGATTTGAAGCCAGTAATATGACCCTTCGAAAACAAGAAAAGCCTTCTTCTCTAACTGGGCAACTAGCCTAGTCGATCCGGTAGCCTAACTGCAATAGGATATCTGCAAGCAGCACTGTAAATGAAACATACGACAATGAAACATATTACTTACAATCCTCTAAATTGAGACATCAAAACAGTCCCAGGACTACTAAGGCGACGTTTCCAGGAGATCTCCATCAGTTTCGAACTTGACAAAAGAGTCTTGACAAGATGAACACAACAAAAATTGTTCATTGACGTTTAGAAATTCCATCAGATCGTGTATCTTTCGGAGGCAAGGATAGCTCAAGCTATTTTCAATCCAGTCTTATAATCGGTCTGCTAAATGTCCCAAGGTCCATAACCAATGAATAAAATTCCCCAACTTCAGACGAAGTGCAGTTTGAAACTTCATGGTCTGTTTATCCACTGCATTTTAAAAAGAAAAGAGAATACTCAAAGTGTTGGAAAGTTGATCCCAAGTAATGACAAGTGTAATCATCAATTTTGCTCGTTCTTCACCCACGTCATTTTCCGTTCTTTTCTTACGTGAACACGACCCTCTCTAAATATACTTATTTTTGTCAAGAACCTCAAAAACGCAAGACGAAAAAAGATTGTGCTGAGCAGCAAAACCCTCCCCGGGTCTAGCCTGCGAGCAAAGTCTCTCACTGCCCCACCCCCCCCAACCCTCCCCCCAATCCCGGCAGCAAGAGACCTTGCTCGCAGGCTAGACCCCCCCTTCCCTCCCTTTCCCACCTTTCCCCCCTTAAAAATTCAATGGTTTTTTAGTATGTTATTCATATGCAAATCAAATTCTCGCCCCTCATTGGCTCTTGAAAATAATGATGTCATGAACCTTCGGTCCAGAGGTCCAGAGGTCCAGAGGTCCAGAGGTCCAAGAACCAAAACAAACCAAAGTTCGCCAAACGTAATGGAAACTGTAGCCTTCTCGGCTTTGGGAAAGATCTTTACGTGCATTAAAAAAAACACTAACGCCTCTACCTTTTTGCTGGAAGTTTTGTACAATAATGAAATATTTGAAATGTCTGTCGCTGCGTTTGTTTTCAGTTGTGATCACAAGAAACAGTTGGCTCTTTCGATTAGGTACCTTTACGCCTAATAGTGATCCGTGACGATTTACTTTCCCCCTATATATCCTATTTGTCAGTGATCAGTATCAATCATAAAAGGCTGAAAATAGAGGAAAACTGCTCAGCAGCGGGAAAAAACATTGTGATTTCTAATCAAATTCTCCTCCTTATTACCAAATGAACGGTAAAGAAATGAGTATGGAGAATGTGCATGTTAAACTCACAAGAGTTTTCTGCAACAAATAGATTTTGATCTTGTTAATGGAAAACGCCAAGGTTTTAATAGATTTGAAGCCAGGAATGTGACCCTTCGAAAACAAGAAAAGCCTTCTTCTCTAACTGGGCAACTAGCCTAGTCGATCCGGTAGCCTAACTGCAATAGGATATCTGCAAGCAGCACTGTAAATGAAACATACGACAATGAAACATATTACTTACAATCCTCTAACTTGAGACATCAAAACAGTCCCAGGACTACTAAGGCGACGTTTCCAGGAGATTTCCATCAGTTTCGAACTTGACCCAAGAGTCTTGACAAGATGAACAAAACAAAAATTGTTCATTGACGTTTAGAAATTCCATCAGATCGTGTATCTTTCGGAGGCAAGGTTAGCTCAAGCTATTTTCAATCCAGTCTTATAATCGGTCTCCTAAATGTCCCAAGGTCCATAACCAATGAAAAAAATTCTCCAACTTCAGACGAAGTGCAGTTTGAAACTTCATGGTCTGTTTATCCACTGCATTTTAAAAAGAAAAGAGAATACTCAAAGTGTTGGAAAGTTGATCCCAAGTAATGACAAGTGTAATCATCAATTTTGCTCGTTCTTCACCCACGTCATTTTCCGTTCTTTTCTTACGTGAACACGACCCTCTCTAAGTATACTTATTTTTGTCAAGAACCTCAAAAACGCAAGACGAAAAAAGATTGTGCTGAGCAGCAAAACCCTCCCCGGGTCTAGCCTGCTAGCAAGGTCTCTCACTGCCCCACCCCACCCAACCCTTCCCCCATTCCCGGCAGCAAGAGACCTTGCTCGCAGGCTAGACCCCCCTTCCCCCCCCCCCCCCTTCCCCCCTCCCTTCCCTTCCCTTCCTTCCTGCCCCTCCCATCCTTCCCCCCTCTACCTACCTACCTATCTATCTACCCCCCTCTACCTACCCCTCTACCTATCTACCTATCTAACTATCTACCTATCTAACTATCTACCTATCTAACTATCTAACTATCTAACTATCTAACTATCTACCTATCTACCTATCTACCTATCTACCTATCTACCTACCCCCCCGGCCCGCCCCCGGGCCGGTGTACCAACTCCCGCTTTCCCATACCCTTCCCAAGGCCTTTTTTCCTCCCTTTCCTCGCCCCAAGCCCTCCCAGATCCAAGCCGCGCCTTTTTTCTTTTTTTTCTTTTTTTATGCTAATCAGGCGGGACTCGAACCCGTCACCTCTTTGTCACCTCTTTGTTTCCCAATTAGTTACCTATTCAGTTCTATGCCAATTGCGCCATCCCGGCTCGGTTAAAAATTCAATGGTTTTTTAGTATGTTATTCATATGCAAATCAAATTCTCGCCCCTCATTGGCTCTTGAAAATAATGATGTCATGAACCTTTGGCCCAGAGGTCCAGAGGTCCAGAGGTCCAAGAACCAAAACAAACCAAAGTTCGCCAAACGTAATGGAAACTGTAGCCTTCTCGGCTTTGGGAAAGATCTTTACGTGCATTAAAAAAACACTAACGCCTCTACCTTTTTGCTGGAAGTTTTGTACAATAATGAAATATTTGAAATGTCTGTCGCTGCGTTTGTTTTCAGTTGTGATCACAAGAAACAGTTTGCTCTTTCGATTAGGTACCTTTACGCCTAATAGTGATCCGTGACGATTTACTTTCCCCCTATATATCCTATTTGTTAGTGATCAGTATCAATCATAAAAGGCTGAAAATAGAGGAAAACTGCTCAGCAGCGGGAAAAAACATTGTGATTTCTAATCAAATTCTCCTCCTTATTACCAAATGAACGGTAAAGAAATGAGTATGGAGAATGTGCATGTTAAACTCACAAGAGTTTTCTGCAACAAATAGATTTTGATCTTGTTAATGGAAAACGCCAAGGTTTTAATAGATTTGAAGCCAGGAATGTGACCCTTCGAAAACAAGAAAAGCCTTCTTCTCTAACTGGGCAACTAGCCTAGTCGATCCGGTAGCCTAACTGCAATAGGATATCTGCAAGCAGCACTGTAAATGAAACATACGACAATGAAACATATTACTTACAATCCTCTAACTTGAGACATCAAAACAGTCCCAGGACTACTAAGGCGACGTTTCCAGGAGATCTCCATCAGTTTCGAACTTGACCCAAGAGTCTTGACAAGATGAACAAAACAAAAATTGTTCATTGACGTTTAGAAATTCCATCAGATCGTGTATCTTTCGGAGGCAAGGTTAGCTCAAGCTATTTTCAATCCAGTCTTATAATCGGTCTGCTAAATGTCCCAAGGTCCATAACCAATGAATAAAATTCTCCAACTTCAGACGAAGTGCAGTTTGAAACTTCATGGTCTGTTTATCCACTGCATTTTAAAAAGAAAAGAGAATACTCAAAGTGTTGGAAAGTTGATCCCAAGTAATGACAAGTGTAATCATCAATTTTGCTCGTTCTTCACCCACGTCATTTTCCGTTCTTTTCTTACGTGAACACGACCCTCTCTAAGTATACTTATTTTTGTCAAGAACCTCAAAAACGCAAGACGAAAAAAGATTGTGCTGAGCAGCAAAACCCTCCCCGGGTCTAGCCTGCGAGCAAGGTCTCTCACTGCCCCACCCCACCCAACCCTCCCCCAATCCCGGCAGCAAGAAACCTTGCTCGCAGGCTAGACCCCCTTCCCTCCCTCCCCCCCTCCCCCTTTCCCCCTCCCTTCCCTTCCCTTCCTGCCCCTCCCATCCCCCCCCTCTACCTATCTACCTATCTACCTATCTACCTATCTACCTATCTACCTATCTACCTATCTACCTATCTACCTATCTACCTATCTACCTATCTACCTATCTACCTATCTACCTATCTACCTATCTACCTATCTACCTATCTACCTACCCCCCTGCCCCGCCCCCCGGCCGGTAGTACCAACTCCACTTCCCATACCCTTCCCAAGGCCTTTTTCCTCCCTTTCCTCGCCCCAAGCCCTCCCAGATCCAAGCCGCGCCTTTTTTTTTTTTTTTTTTTTTTTATGCTAATCAGGCGGGACTCGAACCCGTCACCTCTTTGTCACCTCTTTGTTTGCCAATTAGTTACCTATTCAGTTCTATGCCAATTGCGCTATCCCGCTCGGTTAAAAATTCAATGGTTTTTTAGTATGTTATTCATGTGCAAATCAAATTCTCGCCCCTCATTGGCTCTTGAAAATAATGATGTCATGAACCTTTGGCCCAGAGGTCCAGAGGTCCAGAGGTCAAGAACCAAAACAAACCAAAGTTCGCCAAACGTAATGGAAATTGTAGCCTTCTCGGCTTTGGGAAAGATCTTTACGTGCATTAAAAAAAAACACTAACGCCTCTACCTTTTTGCTGGAAGTTTTGTACAATAATGAAATATTTGAAATGTCTGTCGCTGCGTTTGTTTTCAGTTGTGATCACAAGAAACAGTTTGCTCTTTCGATTAGGTACCTTTACGCCTAATAATAGTGATCCGTGACGATTTACTTTCCCCCTATATATCCTATTTGTTAGTGATCAGTATCAATCATAAAAGGCTGAAAATAGAGGAAAACTGCTCAGCAGCGGAAAAAACATTGTGATTTCTAATCAAATTCTCCTCCTTATTACCAAATGAACGGTAAAGAAATGAGTATGGAGAATGTGCATGTTAAACTCACAAGAGTTTTCTGCAACAAATAGATTTTGATCTTGTTAATGGAAAACGCCAAGGTTTTAATAGATTTGAAGCCAGGAATGTGACCCTTCGAAAACAAGAAAAGCCTTCTTCTCTAACTGGGCAACTAGCCTAGTCGATCCGGTAGCCTAACTGCAATAGGATATCTGCAAGCAGCACTGTAAATGAAACATACGACAATGAAACATATTACTTACAATCCTCTAACTTGAGACATCAAAACAGTCCCAGGACTACTAAGGCGACGTTTCCAGGAGATCTCCATCAGTTTCGAACTTGACCCAAGAGTCTTGACAAGATGAAAAAACAAAAATTGTTCATTGACGTTTAGAAATTCCATCAGATCGTGTATCTTTCGGAGGCAAGGTTAGCTCAAGCTATTTTCAATCCAGTCTTATAATCGGTCTGCTAAATGTCCCAAGGTCCATAACCAATGAATAAAATTCTCCAACTTCAGACGAAGTGCAGTTTGAAACTTCATGGTCTGTTTATCCACTGCATTTTAAAAAGAAAAGAGAATACTCAAAGTGTTGGAAAGTTGATCCCAAGTAATGACAAGTGTAATCATCAATTTTGCTCGTTCTTCACCCACGTCATTTTCCGTTCTTTTCTTACGTGAACACGACCCTCTCTAAGTATACTTATTTTTTGTCAAGAACCTCAAAAACGCAAGACGAAAAAAGATTGTGCTGAGCAGCAAAACCCTCCCCAGGTCTAGCCTGCGAGCAAGGTCTCTCACTGCCCCACCCCACCCAACCCTCCCCCAATCCCGGCAGCAAGAGACCTTGCTCGCAGGCTAGACCCCCTCCTTTCCCCCCTTTCCCCCCTTTCCCCCTCCCTTCCCTTCCCTTCCTTCCCTTCCCTGCCCCTCCCATCCTTCCCCCCTCTACCTATCTACCTATCTATCTACCCCCTCTACCTACCCCTCTACCTATCTACCTATCTAACTATCTACCTATCTAACTATCTAACTATCTACCTATCTACCTATCTACCTATCTACCTACCCCCCTACCCCCCCCCTGGGCCGGTGTACCTGCTCCACTTCCCATACCCTTCCCAAGGCCTTTTTCCTCCCTTTCCTCGCCCCAAGCCCTCCCAGATCCAAGCCGCGCCTTTTTTCTTTTTTTTTTTTTTTTTATGCTAATCAGGCGGGACTCGAACCCGTCACCTCTTTGTCACCTCTTTGTTTGCCAATTACTTACCTATTCAGTTCTATGCCAATTGCGCTATCCCGGCTCGGTTAAAAATTCAATGGTTTTTTTAGTATGTTATTCATGTGCAAATCAAATTCTCGCCCCTCATTGGCTCTTGAAAATAATGATGTCATGAACCTTTGGCCCAGAGGTCCAGAGGTCCAGAGGTCAAGAACCAAAACAAACCAAAGTTCGCCAAACGTAATGGAAATTGTAGCCTTCTCGGCTTTGGGAAAGATCTTTACGTGCATTAAAAAAACACTAACGCCTCTACCTTTTTGCTGGAAGTTTTGTACAATAATGAAATATTTGAAATGTCTGTCGCTGCGTTTGTTTTCAGTTGTGATCACAAGAAACAGTTTGCTCTTTCGATTAGGTACCTTTACGCCTAATAGTGATCCGTGACGATTTACTTTCCCCTATATATCCTATTTGTTAGTGATCAGTATCAATCATAAAAGGCTGAAAATAGAGGAAAACTGCTCAGCAGCGGGGAAAAACATTGTGATTTCTAATCAAATTCTCCTCCTTATTACCAAATGAACGGTAAAGAAATGAGTATGGAGAATGTGCATGTTAAACTCACAAGAGTTTTCTGCAACAAATAGATTTTGATCTTGTTAATGGAAAACGCCAAGGTTTTAATAGATTTGAAGCCAGGAATGTGACCCTTCGAAAACAAGAAAAGCCTTCTTCTCTAACTGGGCAACTAGCCTAGTCGATCCGGTAGCCTAACTGCAATAGGATATCTGCAAGCAGCACTGTAAATGAAACATACGACAATGAAACATATTACTTACAATCCTCTAACTTGAGACATCAAAACAGTCCCAGGACTACTAAGGCGACGTTTCCAGGAGATCTCCATCAGTTTCGAACTTGACCCAAGAGTCTTGACAAGATGAAAAAACAAAAATTGTTCATTGACGTTTAGAAATTCCATCAGATCGTGTATCTTTCGGAGGCAAGGTTAGCTCAAGCTATTTTCAATCCAGTCTTATAATCGGTCTGCTAAATGTCCCAAGGTCCATAACCAATGAATAAAATTCTCCAACTTCAGACGAAGTGCAGTTTGAAACTTCATGGTCTGTTTATCCACTGCATTTTAAAAAGAAAAGAGAATACTCAAAGTGTTGGAAAGTTGATCCCAAGTAATGACAAGTGTAATCATCAATTTTGCTCGTTCTTCACCCACGTCATTTTCCGTTCTTTTCTTACGTGAACACGACCCTCTCTAAGTATACTTATTTTTGTCAAGAACCTCAAAAACGCAAGACGAAAAAAAAAAGATTGTGCTGAGCAGCAAAACCCTCCCGGGTCTAGCCTGCGAGCAAGGTCTCTCACTGCCCCACCCCACCCAACCCCTCCCCAATCCCGGCAGCAAGAGACCTTGCTCGCAGGCTAGACCCCCTCCTCCCTTTCCCCCTTTCCCCCCTTTCCCCTCCTTCCCTTCCTTCCTTCCCTTCCCTGCCCCTCCATCCTTCCCCCCTCTACCTATCTACCTATCTATCTACCCCCCTCTACCTACCCCTCTACCTATCTACCTATCTAACTATCTACCTATCTAACTATCTAACTATCTACCTATCTACCTATCTACCTATCTACCTACCCCCCCCCCCGCCCCCGGGCCGGTGTAACTCCCGCTTCCCATACCCTTCCCAAGGCCTTTTTCCTCCCTTTCCTCGCCCCAAGCCCTCCCAGATCCAAGCCGCGCCTTTTTCTTTTTTTTTTTTTTTATGCTAATCAGGCGGGACTCGAACCCGTCACCTCTTTGTCACCTCTTTGTTTGCCAATTAGTTACCTATTCAGTTCTATGCCAATTGCGCTATCCCGGCTCGGTTAAAAAATTCAATGGTTTTTAGTATGTTATTCATGTGCAAATCAAATTCTCGCCCCTCATTGGCTCTTGAAAATAATGATGTCATGAACCTTTGGCCCAGAGGTCCAGAGGTCCAGAGGTCAGAACCAAAACAAACCAAAGTTCGCCAAACGTAATGGAAATTGTAGCCTTCTCGGCTTTGGGAAAGATCTTTACGTGCATTAAAAAAAAAAACACTAACGCCTCTACCTTTTTGCTGGAAGTTTTGTACAATAATGAAATATTTGAAATGTCTGTCGCTGCGTTTGTTTTCAGTTGTGATCACAAGAAACAGTTTGCTCTTTCGATTAGGTACCTTTACGCCTAATAGTGATCCGTGACGATTTACTTTCCCCCTATATATCCTATTTGTTAGTGATCAGTATCAATCATAAAAGGCTGAAAATAGAGGAAAACTGCTCAGCAGCGGGAAAAAACATTGTGATTTCTAATCAAATTCTCCTCCTTATTACCAAATGAACGGTAAAGAAAATGAGTATGGAGAATGTGCATGTTAAACTCACAAGAGTTTTCTGCAACAAATAGATTTTGATCTTGTTAATGGAAAACGCCAAGGTTTTAATAGATTTGAAGCCAGGAATGTGACCCTTCGAAAACAAGAAAAGCCTTCTTCTCTAACTGGGCAACTAGCCTAGTCGATCCGGTAGCCTAACTGCAATAGGATATCTGCAAGCAGCACTGTAAATGAAACATACGACAATGAAACATATTACTTACAATCCTCTAACTTGAGACATCAAAACAGTCCCAGGACTACTAAGGCGACGTTTCCAGGAGATCTCCATCAGTTTCGAACTTGACCCAAGAGTCTTGACAAGATGAAAAAAACAAAAATTGTTCATTGACGTTTAGAAATTCCATCAGATCGTGTATCTTTCGGAGGCAAGGTTAGCTCAAGCTATTTTCAATCCAGTCTTATAATCGGTCTGCTAAATGTCCCAAGGTCCATAACCAATGAATAAAATTCTCCAACTTCAGACGAAGTGCAGTTTGAAACTTCATGGTCTGTTTATCCACTGCATTTTAAAAGAAAAGAGAATACTCAAAGTGTTGGAAAGTTGATCCCAAGTAATGACAAGTGTAATCATCAATTTTGCTCGTTCTTCACCCACGTCATTTTCCGTTCTTTTCTTACGTGAACACGACCCTCTCTAAGTATACTTATTTTTGTCAAGAACCTCAAAAACGCAAGACGAAAAAGATTGCTCTGAGCAGCAAAACCCTCCCCGGGTCTAGCCTGCGAGCAAGGTCTCTCACTGCCCCACCCCACCCAACCTCCCCCAATCCCGGCAGCAAGAGACCTTGCTCGCAGGCTAGACCCCCCCCTTCCCCCCCTTTCCCCCCCCCTTTCCCCTCCCTTCCCTTCCCTTCCCTTCCTTCCCCCCCTCCCATCCTTCCCCCCTCTACCTATCTACCTATCTATCTACCCCCCTCTACCTACCCCTCTACCTATCTACCTATCTAACTATCTACCTATCTAACTATCTAACTATCTACCTATCTACCTATCTACCTATCTACCTACCCCCCCGGCCCGCCCCCGGGCCGGTGTACCAACTCCCGCTTCCCATACCCTTCCCAAGGCCTTTTTTCCTCCCTTTCCTCGCCCCAAGCCCTCCCAGATCCAAGCCGCGCCTTTTTTCTTTTTTTTCTTTTTTTATGCTAATCAGGCGGGACTCGAACCCGTCACCTCTTTGTCACCTCTTTGTTTGCCAATTAGTTACCTATTCAGTTCTATGCCAATTGCGCTATCCCGGCTCGGTTAAAAATTCAATGGTTTTTTAGTATGTTATTCATGTGCAAATCAAATTCTCGCCCCTCATTGGCTCTTGAAAATAATGATGTCATGAACCTTTGGCCCAGAGGTCCAGAGGTCCAGAGGTCCAAGAACCAAAACAAACCAAAGTTCGCCAAACGTAATGGAAATTGTAGCCTTCTCGGCTTTGGGAAAGATCTTTACGTGCATTAAAAAAAAACACTAACGCCTCTACCTTTTTGCTGGAAGTTTTGTACAATAATGAAATATTTGAAATGTCTGTCGCTGCGTTTGTTTTCAGTTGTGATCACAAGAAACAGTTTGCTCTTTCGATTAGGTACCTTTACGCCTAATAGTGATCCGTGACGATTTACTTTCCCCCTATATATCCTATTTGTTAGTGATCAGTATCAATCATAAAAGGCTGAAAATAGAGGAAAACTGCTCAGCAGCGGGAAAAAACATTGTGATTTCTAATCAAATTCTCCTCCTTATTACCAAATGAACGGTAAAGAAATGAGTATGGAGAATGTGCATGTTAAACTCACAAGAGTTTTCTGCAACAAATAGATTTTGATCTTGTTAATGGAAAACGCCAAGGTTTTAATAGATTTGAAGCCAGGAATGTGACCCTTCGAAAACAAGAAAAGCCTTCTTCTCTAACTGGGCAACTAGCCTAGTCGATCCGGTAGCCTAACTGCAATAGGATATCTGCAAGCAGCACTGTAAATGAAACATACGACAATGAAACATATTACTTACAATCCTCTAACTTGAGACATCAAAACAGTCCCAGGACTACTAAGGCGACGTTTCCAGGAGATCTCCATCAGTTTCGAACTTGACCCAAGAGTCTTGACAAGATGAAAAAAACAAAATTGTTCATTGACGTTTAGAAATTCCATCAGATCGTGTATCTTTCGGAGGCAAGGTTAGCTCAAGCTATTTTCAATCCAGTCTTATAATCGGTCTGCTAAATGTCCCAAGGTCCATAACCAATGAATAAAATTCTCCAACTTCAGACGAAGTGCAGTTTGAAACTTCATGGTCTGTTTATCCACTGCATTTTAAAAAGAAAAGAGAATACTCAAAGTGTTGGAAAGTTGATCCCAAGTAATGACAAGTGTAATCATCAATTTTGCTCGTTCTTCACCCACGTCATTTTCCGTTCTTTTCTTACGTGAACACGACCCTCTCTAAGTATACTTATTTTTGTCAAGAACCTCAAAAACGCAAGACGAAAAAAAGATTGCTCTGAGCAGCAAAACCCTCCCCGGGTCTAGCCTGCGAGCAAGGTCTCTCACTGCCCCACCCCACCCAACCCTCCCCAATCCCGGCAGCAAGAGACCTTGCTCGCAGGCTAGACCCCCCTTCCTCCTTTCCCCCCTTTCCCCCCCTCCCCTCCCTTCCCTTCCCTTCCCTTCCCTTCCATGCCCCCCCTCCCATCCTTCCCCCCCTCTACCTATCTACCTATCTATCTACCCCCTCTACCTACCCCTCTACCTATCTACCTATCTAACTATCTACCTATCTAACTATCTAACTATCTACCTATCTACCTATCTACCTATCTACCTACCCCCCCCCCCCCCGGGCCGGTGTACCAACTCCCGCTTCCCATACCCTTCCCAAGGCCTTTTTTCCTCCCTTTCCTCGCCCCAAGCCCTCCCAGATCCAAGCCGCGCCTTTTTTTTTTTTTTTTTTTTTATGCTAATCAGGCGGGACTCGAACCCGTCACCTCTTTGTCACCTCTTTGTTTGCCAATTAGTTACCTATTCAGTTCTATGCCAATTGCGCTATCCCGGCTCGGTTAAAAATTCAATGGTTTTTAGTATGTTATTCATGTGCAAATCAAATTCTCGCCCCTCATTGGCTCTTGAAAATAATGATGTCATGAACCTTTGGCCCAGAGGTCCAGAGGTCCAGAGGTCCAAGAACCAAAACAAACCAAAGTTCGCCAAACGTAATGGAAATTGTAGCCTTCTCGGCTTTGGGAAAGATCTTTACGTGCATTAAAAAAAAAAACACTAACGCCTCTACCTTTTTGCTGGAAGTTTTGTACAATAATGAAATATTTGAAATGTCTGTCGCTGCGTTTGTTTTCAGTTGTGATCACAAGAAACAGTTTGCTCTTTCGATTAGGTACCTTTACGCCTAATAGTGATCCGTGACGATTTACTTTCCCCTATATATCCTATTTGTTAGTGATCAGTATCAATCATAAAAGGCTGAAAATAGAGGAAAACTGCTCAGCAGCGGGAAAAAACATTGTGATTTCTAATCAAATTCTCCTCCTTATTACCAAATGAACGGTAAAGAAATGAGTATGGAGAATGTGCATGTTAAACTCACAAGAGTTTTCTGCAACAAATAGATTTTGATCTTGTTAATGGAAAACGCCAAGGTTTTAATAGATTTGAAGCCAGGAATGTGACCCTTCGAAAACAAGAAAAGCCTTCTTCTCTAACTGGGCAACTAGCCTAGTCGATCCGGTAGCCTAACTGCAATAGGATATCTGCAAGCAGCACTGTAAATGAAACATACGACAATGAAACATATTACTTACAATCCTCTAACTTGAGACATCAAAACAGTCCCAGGACTACTAAGGCGACGTTTCCAGGAGATCTCCATCAGTTTCGAACTTGACCCAAGAGTCTTGACAAGATGAAAAACAAAATTGTTCATTGACGTTTAGAAATTCCATCAGATCGTGTATCTTTCGGAGGCAAGGTTAGCTCAAGCTATTTTCAATCCAGTCTTATAATCGGTCTGCTAAATGTCCCAAGGTCCATAACCAATGAATAAAATTCTCCAACTTCAGACGAAGTGCAGTTTGAAACTTCATGGTCTGTTTATCCACTGCATTTTAAAAAGAAAAGAGAATACTCAAAGTGTTGGAAAGTTGATCCCAAGTAATGACAAGTGTAATCATCAATTTTGCTCGTTCTTCACCCACGTCATTTTCCGTTCTTTTCTTACGTGAACACGACCCTCTCTAAGTATACTTATTTTTGTCAAGAACCTCAAAACGCAAGACGAAAAAAGATTGCTCTGAGCAGCAAAACCCTCCCCGGGTCTAGCCTGCGAGCAAGGTCTCTCACTGCCCCACCCCACCCAACCCTCCCCAATCCCGGCAGCAAGAGACCTTGCTCGCAGGCTAGACCCCCCCTTCCCCCCCCCCTTCCCCCCCCCCCTTTCCCCTCCCTTCCCTTCCCTTCCCTTCCCTTCCATGCCCCTCCCATCCTTCCCCCCTCTACCTATCTACCTATCTATCTACCCCCCCTCTACCTACCCCCCCTACCTATCTACCTATCTAACTATCTACCTATCTAACTATCTAACTATCTACCTATCTACCTATCTACCTATCTACCTACCCCCCCCCCCCGCCCCCGGGCCGGTGTACCAACTCCCGCTTCCCATACCCTTCCCAAGGCCTTTTTCCTCCCTTTCCTCGCCCCAAGCCCTCCCAGATCCAAGCCGCGCCTTTTTTTTTTTTTTTTTTTCTTTTTTTATGCTAATCAGGCGGGACTCGAACCCGTCACCTCTTTGTCACCTCTTTGTTTGCCAATTAGTTACCTATTCAGTTCTATGCCAATTGCGCTATCCCGGCTCGGTTAAAAATTCAATGGTTTTTTAGTATGTTATTCATGTGCAAATCAAATTCTCGCCCCTCATTGGCTCTTGAAAATAATGATGTCATGAACCTTTGGCCCAGAGGTCCAGAGGTCCAGAGGTCCAAGAACCAAAACAAACCAAAGTTCGCCAAACGTAATGGAAATTGTAGCCTTCTCGGCTTTGGGAAAGATCTTTACGTGCATTAAAAAAAAACACTAACGCCTCTACCTTTTTGCTGGAAGTTTTGTACAATAATGAAATATTTGAAATGTCTGTCGCTGCGTTTGTTTTCAGTTGTGATCACAAGAAACAGTTTGCTCTTTCGATTAGGTACCTTTACGCCTAATAGTGATCCGTGACGATTTACTTTCCCCCTATATATCCTATTTGTTAGTGATCAGTATCAATCATAAAAGGCTGAAAATAGAGGAAAACTGCTCAGCAGCGGGAAAAAACATTGTGATTTCTAATCAAATTCTCCTCCTTATTACCAAATGAACGGTAAAGAAATGAGTATGGAGAATGTGCATGTTAAACTCACAAGAGTTTTCTGCAACAAATAGATTTTGATCTTGTTAATGGAAAACGCCAAGGTTTTAATAGATTTGAAGCCAGGAATGTGACCCTTCGAAAACAAGAAAAGCCTTCTTCTCTAACTGGGCAACTAGCCTAGTCGATCCGGTAGCCTAACTGCAATAGGATATCTGCAAGCAGCACTGTAAATGAAACATACGACAATGAAACATATTACTTACATCCTCTAACTTGAGACATCAAAACAGTCCCAGGACTACTAAGGCGACGTTTCCAGGAGATCTCCATCAGTTTCGAACTTGACCCAAGAGTCTTGACAAGATGAACAAAACAAAAATTGTTCATTGACGTTTAGAAATTCCATCAGATCGTGTATCTTTCGGAGGCAAGGTTAGCTCAAGCTATTTTCAATCCAGTCTTATAATCGGTCTGCTAAATGTCCCAAGGTCCATAACCAATGAATAAAATTCTCCAACTTCAGACGAAGTGCAGTTTGAAACTTCATGGTCTGTTTATCCACTGCATTTTAAAAAGAAAAGAGAATACTCAAAGTGTTGGAAAGTTGATCCCAAGTAATGACAAGTGTAATCATCAATTTTGCTCGTTCTTCACCCACGTCATTTTCCGTTCTTTTCTTACGTGAACACGACCCTCTCTAAGTATACTTATTTTTGTCAAGAACCTCAAAAACGCAAGACGAAAAAAAAGATTGCTCTGAGCAGCAAAACCCTCCCCGGGTCTAGCCTGCGAGCAAGGTCTCTCACTGCCCCACCCCACCCAACCCTCCCCCAATCCCGGCAGCAAGAGACCTTGCTCGCAGGCTAGACCCCCTTCCCTTTCCCCCCCCCCTTTCCCCCCCCCCCCCCCTTCCCTTCCCTTCCCTTCCCTTCCATGCCCCCTCCCATCCTTCCCCCTCTACCTATCTACCTATCTATCTACCCCCTACTACCTACCCCTCTACCTATCTACCTATCTAACTATCTACCTATCTAACTATCTAACTATCTACCTATCTACCTATCTACCTATCTACCTACCCCCCCCGCCCCCCCCGGGCCGGTGTACCAACTCCCTTCCCATACCCTTCCCAAGGCCTTTTTTCCTCCCTTTCCTCGCCCCAAGCCCTCCCAGATCCAAGCCGCGCCTTTTTTCTTTTTTTTCTTTTTTTATGCTAATCAGGCGGGACTCGAACCCGTCACCTCTTTGTCACCTCTTTGTTTGCCAATTAGTTACCTATTCAGTTCTATGCCAATTGCGCTATCCCGGCTCGGTTAAAAATTCAATGGTTTTTTAGTATGTTATTCATGTGCAAATCAAATTCTCGCCCCTCATTGGCTCTTGAAAATAATGATGTCATGAACCTTTGGCCCAGAGGTCCAGAGGTCCAGAGGTCCAAGAACCAAAACAAACCAAAGTTCGCCAAACGTAATGGAAATTGTAGCCTTCTCGGCTTTGGGAAAGATCTTTACGTGCATTAAAAAAAAACACTAACGCCTCTACCTTTTTGCTGGAAGTTTTGTACAATAATGAAATATTTGAAATGTCTGTCGCTGCGTTTGTTTTCAGTTGTGATCACAAGAAACAGTTTGCTCTTTCGATTAGGTACCTTTACGCCTAATAGTGATCCGTGACGATTTACTTTCCCCCTATATATCCTATTTGTTAGTGATCAGTATCAATCATAAAAGGCTGAAAATAGAGGAAAACTGCTCAGCAGCGGGAAAAAACATTGTGATTTCTAATCAAATTCTCCTCCTTATTACCAAATGAACGGTAAAGAAATGAGTATGGAGAATGTGCATGTTAAACTCACAAGAGTTTTCTGCAACAAATAGATTTTGATCTTGTTAATGGAAAACGCCAAGGTTTTAATAGATTTGAAGCCAGGAATGTGACCCTTCGAAAACAAGAAAAGCCTTCTTCTCTAACTGGGCAACTAGCCTAGTCGATCCGGTAGCCTAACTGCAATAGGATATCTGCAAGCAGCACTGTAAATGAAACATACGACAATGAAACATATTACTTACATCCTCTAACTTGAGACATCAAAACAGTCCCAGGACTACTAAGGCGACGTTTCCAGGAGATCTCCATCAGTTTCGAACTTGACCCAAGAGTCTTGACAAGATCAACAAAACAAAAATTGTTCATTGACGTTTAGAAATTCCATCAGATCGTGTATCTTTCGGAGGCAAGGTTAGCTCAAGCTATTTTCAATCCAGTCTTATAATCGGTCTGCTAAATGTCCCAAGGTCCATAACCAATGAATAAAATTCTCCAACTTCAGACGAAGTGCAGTTTGAAACTTCATGGTCTGTTTATCCACTGCATTTTAAAAAGAAAAGAGAATACTCAAAGTGTTGGAAAGTTGATCCCAAGTAATGACAAGTGTAATCATCAATTTTGCTCGTTCTTCACCCACGTCATTTTCCGTTCTTTTCTTACGTGAACACGACCCTCTCTAAGTATACTTATTTTTTTTGTCAAGAACCTCAAAAACGCAAGACGAAAAAAAAAAGATTGCTCTGAGCAGCAAAACCCTCCCCGGGTCTAGCCTGCGAGCAAGGTCTCTCACTGCCCCACCCCACCCAACCCTCCCCCAATCCCGGCAGCAAGAGACCTTGCTCGCAGGCTAGACCCCCTTCCCCCTTTCCCCCCTTTCCCCCCTTTCCCCCTCCCTTCCCTTCCCTTCCCTTCCCTTCCCTGCCCCCTCCCATCCTTCCCCCCTCTACCTATCTCCCTATCTATCTACCCCCCTCTACCTACCCCTCTACCTATCTACCTATCTAACTATCTACCTATCTAACTATCTAACTATCTACCTATCTACCTATCTACCTATCTACCTACCCCCCCCAGCCCCGCCCCCGGGCCGGTGTACCAACTCCCCTTCTTCCCATACCCTTCCCAAGGCCTTTTTCCTCCCTTTCCTCGCCCCAAGCCCTCCCAGATCCAAGCCGCGCCTTTTTTTTTTTTTTTTTTTTTTTTTTATGCTAATCAGGCGGGACTCGAACCCGTCACCTCTTTGTCACCTCTTTGTTTGCCAATTAGTTACCTATTCAGTTCTATGCCAATTGCGCTATCCCGGCTCGGTTAAAAATTCAATGGTTTTTTAGTATGTTATTCATGTGCAAATCAAATTCTCGCCCCTCATTGGCTCTTGAAAATAATGATGTCATGAACCTTTGGCCCAGAGGTCCAGAGGTCCAGAGGTCCAAGAACCAAAACAAACCAAAGTTCGCCAAACGTAATGGAAATTGTAGCCTTCTCGGCTTTGGGAAAGATCTTTACGTGCATTAAAAAAAAAAACACTAACGCCTCTACCTTTTTGCTGGAAGTTTTGTACAATAATGAAATATTTGAAATGTCTGTCGCTGCGTTTGTTTTCAGTTGTGATCACAAGAAACAGTTTGCTCTTTCGATTAGGTACCTTTACGCCTAATAGTGATCCGTGACGATTTACTTTCCCCCTATATATCCTATTTGTTAGTGATCAGTATCAATCATAAAAGGCTGAAAATAGAGGAAAACTGCTCAGCAGCGGGAAAAAACATTGTGATTTCTAATCAAATTCTCCTCCTTATTACCAAATGAACGGTAAAGAAATGAGTATGGAGAATGTGCATGTTAAACTCACAAGAGTTTTCTGCAACAAATAGATTTTGATCTTGTTAATGGAAAACGCCAAGGTTTTAATAGATTTGAAGCCAGGAATGTGACCCTTCGAAAACAAGAAAAGCCTTCTTCTCTAACTGGGCAACTAGCCTAGTCGATCCGGTAGCCTAACTGCAATAGGATATCTGCAAGCAGCACTGTAAATGAAACATACGACAATGAAACATATTACTTACAATCCTCTAACTTGAGACATCAAAACAGTCCCAGGACTACTAAGGCGACGTTTCCAGGAGATCTCCATCAGTTTCGAACTTGACCCAAGAGTCTTGACAAGATGAAAAAACAAAAATTGTTCATTGACGTTTAGAAATTCCATCAGATCGTGTATCTTTCGGAGGCAAGGTTAGCTCAAGCTATTTTCAATCCAGTCTTATAATCGGTCTGCTAAATGTCCCAAGGTCCATAACCAATGAATAAAATTCTCCAACTTCAGACGAAGTGCAGTTTGAAACTTCATGGTCTGTTTATCCACTGCATTTTAAAAAGAAAAGAGAATACTCAAAGTGTTGGAAAGTTGATCCCAAGTAATGACAAGTGTAATCATCAATTTTGCTCGTTCTTCACCCACGTCATTTTCCGTTCTTTTCTTACGTGAACACGACCCTCTCTAAGTATACTTATTTTGTCAAGAACCTCAAAAACGCAAGACGAAAAAAAGATTGCTCTGAGCAGCAAAACCCTCCCCGGGTCTAGCCTGCGAGCAAGGTCTCTCACTGCCCCACCCCACCCAACCCTCCCCCCAATCCCGGCAGCAAGAGACCTTGCTCGCAGGCTAGACCCCCCTTCCCCCCTTTCCCCCCTTTCCCCTTTCCCCCCCTTCCCTTCCCTTCCCTTCCTTCCATGCCCCCTCCCATCCTTCCCCCCTCTACCTATCTACCTATCTATCTACCCCCTCTACCTACCCCTCTACCTATCTACCTATCTAACTATCTACCTATCTAACTATCTAACTATCTACCTATCTACCTATCTACCTATCTACCTACCCCCCCAGCCCGCCCCCGGCCGGTGGTGTACCAACTCCCGCTTCCCATACCCTTCCCAAGGCCTTTTTTCCTCCCTTTCCTCGCCCCAAGCCCTCCCAGATCCAAGCCGCGCCTTTTTTTTTTTTTTTTTTTTTTATGCTAATCAGGCGGGACTCGAACCCGTCACCTCTTTGTCACCTCTTTGTTTGCCAATTAGTTACCTATTCAGTTCTATGCCAATTGCGCTATCCCGGCTCGGTTAAAAATTCAATGGTTTTTAGTATGTTATTCATGTGCAAATCAAATTCTCGCCCCTCATTGGCTCTTGAAAATAATGATGTCATGAACCTTTGGCCCAGAGGTCCAGAGGTCCAGAGGTCCAAGAACCAAAACAAACCAAAGTTCGCCAAACGTAATGGAAACTGTAGCCTTCTCGGCTTTGGGAAAGATCTTTACGTGCATTAAAAAAAACACTAACGCCTCTACCTTTTTGCTGGAAGTTTTGTACAATAATGAAATATTTGAAATGTCTGTCGCTGCGTTTGTTTTCAGTTGTGATCACAAGAAACAGTTGGCTCTTTCGATTAGGTACCTTTACGCCTAATAGTGATCCGTGACGATTTACTTTCCCCCTATATATCCTATTTGTTAGTGATCAGTATCAATCATAAAAGGCTGAAAATAGAGGAAAACTGCTCAGCAGCGGGAAAAAACATTGTGATTTCTAATCAAATTCTCCTCCTTATTACCAAATGAACGGTAAAGAAATGAGTATGGAGAATGTGCATGTTAAACTCACAAGAGTTTTCTGCAACAAATAGATTTTGATCTTGTTAATGGAAAACGCCAAGGTTTTAATAGATTTGAAGCCAGGAATGTGACCCTTCGAAAACAAGAAAAGCCTTCTTCTCTAACTGGGCAACTAGCCTAGTCGATCCGGTAGCCTAACTGCAATAGGATATCTGCAAGCAGCACTGTAAATGAAACATACGACAATGAAACATATTACTTACAATCCTCTAACTTGAGACATCAAAACAGTCCCAGGACTACTAAGGCGACGTTTCCAGGAGATCTCCATCAGTTTCGAACTTGACCCAAGAGTCTTGACAAGATGAAAAAAACAAAATTGTTCATTGACGTTTAGAAATTCCATCAGATCGTGTATCTTTCGGAGGCAAGGTTAGCTCAAGCTATTTTCAATCCAGTCTTATAATCGGTCTGCTAAATGTCCCAAGGTCCATAACCAATGAATAAAATTCTCCAACTTCAGACGAAGTGCAGTTTGAAACTTCATGGTCTGTTTATCCACTGCATTTTAAAAAGAAAAGAGAATACTCAAAGTGTTGGAAAGTTGATCCCAAGTAATGACAAGTGTAATCATCAATTTTGCTCGTTCTTCACCCACGTCATTTTCCGTTCTTTTCTTACGTGAACACGACCCTCTCTAAGTATACTTATTTTTGTCAAGAACCTCAAAAACGCAAGACGAAAAAAAGATTGCTCTGAGCAGCAAAACCCTCCCCGGGTCTAGCCTGCGAGCAAGGTCTCTCACTGCCCCACCCCACCCAACCCTCCCCCAATCCCGGCAGCAAGAGACCTTGCTCGCAGGCTAGACCCCCTTTCCCCTTTCCCCCCCCCCCCCCCTTCCCCCCCTTCCCTCCCTTCCCTTCCCTTCCATGCCCCTCCCATCCTTCCCCCCCTCTACCTATCTACCTATCTATCTACCCCCTCTACCTACCCCTCTACCTATCTACCTATCTAACTATCTACCTATCTAACTATCTAACTATCTACCTATCTACCTATCTACCTATCTACCTACCCCCCCGCCCCCCCCGGGCCGGTGTACCAACTCCCCGCTTCCCATACCCTTCCCAAGGCCTTTTTTCCTCCCTTTCCTCGCCCCAAGCCCTCCCAGATCCAAGCCGCGCCTTTTTTTCTTTTTTTTTTTTTTATGCTAATCAGGCGGGACTCGAACCCGTCACCTCTTTGTCACCTCTTTGTTTGCCAATTAGTTACCTATTCAGTTCTATGCCAATTGCGCTATCCCGGCTCGGTTAAAAATTCAATGGTTTTTAGTATGTTATTCATGTGCAAATCAAATTCTCGCCCCTCATTGGCTCTTGAAAATAATGATGTCATGAACCTTTGGCCCAGAGGTCCAGAGGTCCAGAGGTCCAAGAACCAAAACAAACCAAAGTTCGCCAAACGTAATGGAAATTGTAGCCTTCTCGGCTTTGGGAAAGATCTTTACGTGCATTAAAAAAAAAAAACACTAACGCCTCTACCTTTTTGCTGGAAGTTTTGTACAATAATGAAATATTTGAAATGTCTGTCGCTGCGTTTGTTTTCAGTTGTGATCACAAGAAACAGTTTGCTCTTTCGATTAGGTACCTTTACGCCTAATAGTGATCCGTGACGATTTACTTTCCCCTATATATCCTATTTGTTAGTGATCAGTATCAATCATAAAAGGCTGAAAATAGAGGAAAACTGCTCAGCAGCGGGAAAAAACATTGTGATTTCTAATCAAATTCTCCTCCTTATTACCAAATGAACGGTAAAGAAATGAGTATGGAGAATGTGCATGTTAAACTCACAAGAGTTTTCTGCAACAAATAGATTTTGATCTTGTTAATGGAAAACGCCAAGGTTTTAATAGATTTGAAGCCAGGAATGTGACCCTTCGAAAACAAGAAAAGCCTTCTTCTCTAACTGGGCAACTAGCCTAGTCGATCCGGTAGCCTAACTGCAATAGGATATCTGCAAGCAGCACTGTAAATGAAACATACGACAATGAAACATATTACTTACAATCCTCTAACTTGAGACATCAAAACAGTCCCAGGACTACTAAGGCGACGTTTCCAGGAGATCTCCATCAGTTTCGAACTTGACCCAAGAGTCTTGACAAGATGAAAAAAAAAATTGTTCATTGACGTTTAGAAATTCCATCAGATCGTGTATCTTTCGGAGGCAAGGTTAGCTCAAGCTATTTTCAATCCAGTCTTATAATCGGTCTGCTAAATGTCCCAAGGTCCATAACCAATGAATAAAATTCTCCAACTTCAGACGAAGTGCAGTTTGAAACTTCATGGTCTGTTTATCCACTGCATTTTAAAAAGAAAAGAGAATACTCAAAGTGTTGGAAAGTTGATCCCAAGTAATGACAAGTGTAATCATCAATTTTGCTCGTTCTTCACCCACGTCATTTTCCGTTCTTTTCTTACGTGAACACGACCCTCTCTAAGTATACTTATTTTTGTCAAGAACCTCAAAAACGCAAGACGAAAAAAGATTGCTCTGAGCAGCAAAACCCTCCCCGGGTCTAGCCTGCGAGCAAGGTCTCTCACTGCCCCACCCCACCCAACCCTCCCCCCAATCCCGGCAGCAAGAGACCTTGCTCGCAGGCTAGACCCCCCCCTTTCCCCCCTTCCCCTTTTCCCCTCCCTTCCCTTCCCTTCCCTTCCCTTCCATGCCCCTCCCATCCTTCCCCCCCTCTACCTATCTACCTATCTATCTACCCCCTCTACCTACCCCTCTACCTATCTACCTATCTAACTATCTACCTATCTAACTATCTAACTATCTACCTATCTACCTATCTACCTATCTACCTACCCCCCCCCCCCCCCCGGGCCGGTGTACCAACTCCCGCTTCCCATACCCTTCCCAAGGCCTTTTTCCTCCCTTTCCTCGCCCCAAGCCCTCCCAGATCCAAGCCGCGCCTTTTTTTTTTTTTTTTTTTTTTTTATGCTAATCAGGCGGGACTCGAACCCGTCACCTCTTTGTCACCTCTTTGTTTGCCAATTAGTTACCTATTCAGTTCTATGCCAATTGCGCTATCCCGGCTCGGTTAAAAATTCAATGGTTTTTTAGTATGTTATTCATGTGCAAATCAAATTCTCGCCCCTCATTGGCTCTTGAAAATAATGATGTCATGAACCTTTGGCCCAGAGGTCCAGAGGTCCAGAGGTCCAAGAACCAAAACAAACCAAAGTTCGCCAAACGTAATGGAAATTGTAGCCTTCTCGGCTTTGGGAAAGATCTTTACGTGCATTAAAAAAAAAACTAACGCCTCTACCTTTTTGCTGGAAGTTTTGTACAATAATGAAATATTTGAAATGTCTGTCGCTGCGTTTGTTTTCAGTTGTGATCACAAGAAACAGTTTGCTCTTTCGATTAGGTACCTTTACGCCTAATAGTGATCCGTGACGATTTACTTTCCCCTATATATCCTATTTGTTAGTGATCAGTATCAATCATAAAAGGCTGAAAATAGAGGAAAACTGCTCAGCAGCGGGAAAAAAAACATTGTGATTTCTAATCAAATTCTCCTCCTTATTACCAAATGAACGGTAAAGAAATGAGTATGGAGAATGTGCATGTTAAACTCACAAGAGTTTTCTGCAACAAATAGATTTTGATCTTGTTAATGGAAAACGCCAAGGTTTTAATAGATTTGAAGCCAGGAATGTGACCCTTCGAAAACAAGAAAAGCCTTCTTCTCTAACTGGGCAACTAGCCTAGTCGATCCGGTAGCCTAACTGCAATAGGATATCTGCAAGCAGCACTGTAAATGAAACATACGACAATGAAACATATTACTTACAATCCTCTAACTTGAGACATCAAAACAGTCCCAGGACTACTAAGGCGACGTTTCCAGGAGATCTCCATCAGTTTCGAACTTGACCCAAGAGTCTTGACAAGATGAAAAAAAAATTGTTCATTGACGTTTAGAAATTCCATCAGATCGTGTATCTTTCGGAGGCAAGGTTAGCTCAAGCTATTTTCAATCCAGTCTTATAATCGGTCTGCTAAATGTCCCAAGGTCCATAACCAATGAATAAAATTCTCCAACTTCAGACGAAGTGCAGTTTGAAACTTCATGGTCTGTTTATCCACTGCATTTTAAAAAGAAAAGAGAATACTCAAAGTGTTGGAAAGTTGATCCCAAGTAATGACAAGTGTAATCATCAATTTTGCTCGTTCTTCACCCACGTCATTTTCCGTTCTTTTCTTACGTGAACACGACCCTCTCTAAGTATACTTATTTTTGTCAAGAACCTCAAAAACGCAAGACGAAAAAAAGATTGCTCTGAGCAGCAAAACCCTCCCCGGGTCTAGCCTGCGAGCAAGGTCTCTCACTGCCCCACCCCACCCAACCCTCCCCCAATCCCGGCAGCAAGAGACCTTGCTCGCAGGCTAGACCCCCCCCTCCCTTTCCCCCTTTCCCCCTTTCCCCTCCCTTCCCTTCCCTTCCCTTCCTTCCATGCCCCCTCCCATCCTTCCCCCTCTACCTATCTACCTATCTATCTACCCCCTCTACCTACCCCTCTACCTATCTACCTATCTAACTATCTACCTATCTAACTATCTAACTATCTACCTATCTACCTATCTACCTATCTACCTACCCCCCCCGGCCCGCCCCCGGCCGGTGTACCAACTCCCGCTTCCCATACCCTTCCCAAGGCCTTTTTCCTCCCTTTCCTCGCCCCAAGCCCTCCCAGATCCAAGCCGCGCCTTTTTTTTTTTTTTTTTTTTTTTTTATGCTAATCAGGCGGGACTCGAACCCGTCACCTCTTTGTCACCTCTTTGTTTGCCAATTAGTTACCTATTCAGTTCTATGCCAATTGCGCTATCCCGGCTCGGTTAAAAATTCAATGGTTTTTAGTATGTTATTCATGTGCAAATCAAATTCTCGCCCCTCATTGGCTCTTGAAAATAATGATGTCATGAACCTTTGGCCCAGAGGTCCAGAGGTCCAGAGGTCCAAGAACCAAAACAAACCAAAGTTCGCCAAACGTAATGGAAATTGTAGCCTTCTCGGCTTTGGGAAAGATCTTTACGTGCATTAAAAAAAAAACACTAACGCCTCTACCTTTTTGCTGGAAGTTTTGTACAATAATGAAATATTTGAAATGTCTGTCGCTGCGTTTGTTTTCAGTTGTGATCACAAGAAACAGTTTGCTCTTTCGATTAGGTACCTTTACGCCTAATAGTGATCCGTGACGATTTACTTTCCCCTATATATCCTATTTGTTAGTGATCAGTATCAATCATAAAAGGCTGAAAATAGAGGAAAACTGCTCAGCAGCGGGAAAAACATTGTGATTTCTAATCAAATTCTCCTCCTTATTACCAAATGAACGGTAAAGAAATGAGTATGGAGAATGTGCATGTTAAACTCACAAGAGTTTTCTGCAACAAATAGATTTTGATCTTGTTAATGGAAAACGCCAAGGTTTTAATAGATTTGAAGCCAGGAATGTGACCCTTCGAAAACAAGAAAAGCCTTCTTCTCTAACTGGGCAACTAGCCTAGTCGATCCGGTAGCCTAACTGCAATAGGATATCTGCAAGCAGCACTGTAAATGAAACATACGACAATGAAACATATTACTTACAATCCTCTAACTTGAGACATCAAAACAGTCCCAGGACTACTAAGGCGACGTTTCCAGGAGATCTCCATCAGTTTCGAACTTGACCCAAGAGTCTTGACAAGATGAAAAAACAAAAATTGTTCATTGACGTTTAGAAATTCCATCAGATCGTGTATCTTTCGGAGGCAAGGTTAGCTCAAGCTATTTTCAATCCAGTCTTATAATCGGTCTGCTAAATGTCCCAAGGTCCATAACCAATGAATAAAATTCTCCAACTTCAGACGAAGTGCAGTTTGAAACTTCATGGTCTGTTTA